CCCCAAAACCCCAAAACCCCAAAACCCCAAAACCCCTTTCATAGCTACCTCGGTTGAAATTTGTAGTTTAGGATATTCTTGGGGATTTTTGATACTTTTAAGCTAAATTTCAAAATCTAGTGACGTTCTTGGGGGATTTCTGGGATTTATTAGGGCATCAGGCTGGATACTAAAAGTTGAGAAGATTAATACCTGCTACTTGGTAGGATAGTACTGTAGTTTAGCTGAGAATAAGGATTATATTCCAACGTCTTATCATTAAAATATCGATCCCAAAGCGATGACTTATCCAGCTTTCCTTTTTCTATATTCTGTAACGCAACGGCTTACTGATTTTGGTAAGATTCAGTCATTCATGTAATCTATAACCCTCGATGAATTCACTTACTTCTTAATCTTACTCTGCCTCAGATGTTTGTTTATATGTCCAAATTTAAGATTTTTCATCTCTATATGAATCAGCCCAATTTATTACTTTTCGGTTTATTTTGATACCAATTTGGGTAACTTCGCTAGGGAAAGCTTGGCGTCTAAACCCTCAAAAACACTACAAATACCGACAGAGATCAAGAAGTTTTCATGCTTGGTCAGCCTAGGGTCGTATTTATGCAGGATCTCTCGTATTTGTTGGTCCTGAGGCCCAGTCTTATTTTCATAAATTTTTAACTAATTTCGAGCGTAGCCTTTTTCTGGTGTTATCTATTTTTAGAAAGGAGAAATACTTTTTCAGATTTTTGATGAATTTCACGGTGTGATCTGGCACAGAGTACTTCTTTCATGCAAAAGGGAGTTTTATTTTGTTGTAATTGAAGTTTTTGTAGCCTTCGTTGCTTTCTGACGAGAGTTCGAAACTTTGAGAATAGTTGTTCAGGTACCTATTGCTTTCGATAACCTGGAGAATGAGTGAGAAAGGATTTAGGCGAAGAGAAAAGATTTAGAATGCTTACATGATGTAAAGTATCTTTGGAGTACCTCACTCCTGCAATACTGTGATTATCAAAATTTCTTCCTCTGTTTCTGTATACTGCCATTTATAAAATTATATTGAAAGATGGGGTTTTGGGGTTTTGGGGTTTTGGGGAGAT